TTTTGAATCTATTTTGAATCTAATATCATTGAACAAGTTCATTTCACTGCCCCCAATCAATATATCTATTAATCTATCAATCCATTTGCCTGTCCAACTAATAATTCATATGTTTATCATCTGCCTACATATCTATCATAGTGCCTTGCCTCTCTCTACCCGTCTGCGAGTCAATTTGCATATCGATATCTATCCATCAACTCAATTTCTCGCCTAGGCATCTACCAACATATCTGCCTCTCTCTATCGATCAATTTAACCAAGTGTCAATCAATTTATCAACCTTCAAATTTTTCAACCTACATATTTCATCGCCGCATACCTACACCTCCTTATCTACATCGTATACCAATCAGTCTCGATATACACATTTATTCGTTCATCTACCTACCTCTCAGTCGCTGAATCTATCCATCATTGCATCAGTATACGTATTATCTAATCACCTATCTTCAATGTGTTTATCCATCAATTCAGCTGACCGTTGTACGTGAACGTCACTAATTTGAATCACCGTTTTTGGCGTAGATTCAACTTGTTTTCAACTACCCTGATAAATTCTAGCCAGTTTCGTTTCATTTCACTTTTTCTAAACGTTTCCATCATTATATCAATTTGGGACTTGTATCTGTTTCGTATTTTATCACTCCGACGCTTCTCCATTATTATCTGTGAATATGTCTGATGATGACTTCTGCGAGTGTTAAACTGGAAAATCAAAATAACCTCAAAAATTACTTCGCGCCAACAGCCATGACGTCGAATGTTTAAAGGTAAGTAAATCAATACCTTTCCATTGAAGTCGTATCCAAAAACTGAATTAATTCGACCATATCTGAAGGAATATCTAAATAGCGACACAACGGCTTCAAATGGTCAGCGTTGAATTCTGAAATGTGAAAATATCAAACATGAAAATGTATAGTGATAGCAGCTGTGATAGCAGCATATGGTAGTAGCAACATACTGCTCTGAACTTACAGCCTCCAAATCTGATTCAGAGTGCACGGCCAAAAAAAAGCAGCCAGCACAAAAGCAGAAGAGGAAGATTTCATACAAAAGCATATACTCACCGCAAAGTTCCTCCGGAGGATCTACGGAAGAAAGAGCATGCAGAAACAAACAAACCGGTCGTAGAAACTTGATCAGGCCGTAAGTGACGAAGCGAAGCAGGTCGATTGGCGCCAAGCTGTCAGCAGTTACGCTCGCCCACGAATAAACCGATGAGCGAAGGTCAAGCAAAGCGGTCAAGCTTTCCGAAGAAGAGCTGATTTGCGTTCGCTGTATACGGTCATCTTCATCGCCTGCCGGAGAGTTTGCGGTGAACAGCAGCTGCAGCATATACGCGCTCAGCATCAAGCGCAACAGATGGTGTTCATGGACCCCTGCGTGCGCTGTTACCGAACAATCTTTGTCGACGGCTTTCATCCAATCAATCGTGTACGAGAGTTCCACCTGAAGAAAAAAAACATTAAGTCGTAAGCAACCGAAAGTTTAAGTTCTGACAAACACTCGGTATTTTGTGTGGTATATTCTGCGACTAGAGTGCATCGGGACTGTCAAAAAGGTATTCTATTCTACGAGCAGCTAACGAGAATGTTTAACTAGTTTGGCCTCACAGAAGATCCAAATACTGTAGGAAGTGGCAGAACTTTCTTTCATCTATCATCAACGAACGAATTAAGCATGCTTTTCTTCTTGACTCATCAAAAATTGTCTCCAGAATCAAGTCGGTAAGAAAAGGGCTGAAACCAGCCAAAGCTTGGCCAACAAGGTAAAGTCCCTGCACCACAATAAATTTAAAGGACTGTTGGCTTTACGGATCCTGTTTCAGAATGTGGCATGTATAAAAATACATGTATCAATACATCTGACATTTGAAATAGTCGCGTCATCGATAACTGAAATGAATGAACCTTTATGTCCGCCCGTTTTATCCTGTCCATCTTCCCGTCTTGAAATCTTTCTAAATCGACAGAACAGCTATTCGCACTATTTGAAAGGCATTGTGGATAACTGAGTAGCAGTGTCAAAAAAAAATGCGGGTTGAAAAAATGAACGAAGGGCCAAATGGAACTACTATATCAAAAAGAGCTTCCTTCAATGCCCGTAGAATTCGCCGAATGCCATGATCGAAAATAACGAGTATTCGGTCATCAGATAAAAGCAGCTACATGCAATTTTCTCACGAATTCAATCAAGCGTCTAGTCGGTTGACAACCGCCAACAAAAAATAACCGCGCAGATTCCATTAATCATATCATCAGAATCTTTGGCTCTTATTCTGACCGTTACGTCGAAACAACTCGACAACGTCAATACCAGCATGCAGCTTTTGGGAAACTTAAATGGTATATCACAGAATTTAATTCACTAAATAAATGACTCCAATATTACCATCTCTCTTCAAAGTTGTACTTTATATCAGACAGTATGTACATGTACCGTACAGTATCTTTTTGTATTCAACAAAGAAGCACAAAATAATGCTTCGTAAAATTATGAGCTATATTCTGTGCATTTTATGCCCTTGAGGCATTGAGAAGCAAGTATCAATGGAGCATTCTTCAGGTAGTGTACAAACGGAAAGCCTGAAGAAATAAAATGTTAGAAACAATGTGCACAGGCAAACATCGGCGAATAAATTTGTGTACACCCTACTAGTCATCATAATTAAGCAAGTAACATGATGCGAGATGTATCTCACAGTGCAGGCGCTGACACACCATGAAGCGATGGTCTGCTTAAATGGTTACCGAGGCAGAGGAAGAGGAGGTGGCGCAATACACCGTGAAACCTGGTCTTCCATGAGTTATTTCACATGATGAAAACAGTACTATTATTCAGCCTATCCACTGATATTCTACTTTATAATCAAACGTCAGTTGGCATATGTATTTACCAGAGTAGTAAATATGTCCAAGTTCAAAACGTTCGGCAGTTGTTCGGGATCAGCTTCGTGACTGGCAAATAACGGCAACAAAAGACGCCGCAAATGAGTCTTGAATATCGCAGCATCGCCAATGTAGCTAGACAGCGCAACGCAGTGCACCAAACCGTACAACTCACAGCTCTAGAAAATGAATGATTAGGATACACTAAAGAACACAACTTTCAACACGCAATAAAAAATTAAAAAATCTGACAGATAATTAAAATCATTGGATGAACAGAAAGTGGCATTAAATATCAATAACACAATGTCAAATGCTTTAATGCAACCACTAGAAACCGTTGTGAAAAATTTTCTTCATTTTTCTGAAACGAAGATGAACGACTCGGATGAAGGAAAACGCCGGTGATGCGTAAATTAGCTCATTCGCGGCGTATCTATCCAGACAAAAAATGTCTTCGAAGAAGAATTTACTTTTACATCCAGATCTATAAGGCGCTTTACAGACACACTGCATAAATATCTTATGTCTATCCTATTAATAGTCAAATTTCTTGACTTCGTTCCCCAGAGCTAGTACAAACATTGAACTATCACTGCTTTGCGTACGTATAAGGACGAATTTTGCATGTTCGAAGCGATTAAAGGTATAAGGCGCATACATACACCCGTCTATTATACAAAACAAGTTGACAGTCGTCAAAATGAGCATTAAAGCAGTTCCGTCCATGGACATACTCAAACAAGCTTGAGCAAAACGATTAGAGGTCATCATTCACAATAACTGTCGAACAATGCAAATCCTCTACCTTCTGAACACAGGATGCTTACTAAAGGTGAACCTGGATGTCAGTGACTTTTAATCATTCCATCGAGGCATTCACTCTAAGGAAACGTGTTGACGTTTTCTATATGATATATTGGCATCGCGATGACAGTCATGGTAGTAAGAAAGCTTACGCCCCCCCCCTATATGAAGTTTCTGCGTCGAAGGATTTAACAACGACATTTTTGATTAGCGCTGTTTGGCACGTGTAAAACGCACCAAATACTCTTCTCAAATATCTGAAACGACGACAAATGTTTATGAGTATCCTTCGGTCAGACTAAACAGGGTTTAAGTTTCTAAAGCATTTTGAAACAATTGTGTCTAGCAAGAAATATGTCAAGAGTATGACGTGAAGACCTGGTGATAGGAACAAAGACCGCATCGGTCTCCAAAAGCAAAGGAAGCGTAATCAAATCTTTCCA